TAGGTAATGTTCATGCAGTTTTATGCAAAAATGGAAAGAGCTATTGGCTTACTAAAGAACAGTGGCCCTATTTTTGTTTAATCCTATTGGGAAACCACATTTCCTCACCTAAGCAGCAACATTTTCATAATATGTAGTATAAACTTTTAGAAAACACCATAACTGTTTTTTAAAAATCAGAATTTTACTAGGAACTATGAGAAGGTACTATGAACACAAATACACATAAGGTTAGTGTTATAGTACTGTATTCAGATTGTTACACATCCATACTGCTATGTTGAAAATCAGGCATTACAAGATATAGAAAAGCATTGTGCTGATACAGCACAATCAATACTTGAACCTAAAATCTCTTGTATATATTGTCTTCAAAATTATACAATAATTTTTAAAACTTTTTTTTAGGTAATGTTCATGCAGTTTTATGCAAAAATGGAAAGAGCTATTGGCTTACTAAAGAACACTCCACGTACTGCAGAGAGGAAAGGAGACGCATTCTTCAGAATGGTGGATCTATCAGCAGTAATGAGCCTAAAGGACTAATAGAAGGACTAATAAAAAATACTCGTGGTCTTGGCCATCATGGGAACCCAAAGATAAAGAAAACAGTTATTCCTGTACCAAATACAATCTCTTTCTCTGCTGATAACTCATGTCAATTTCTTATTATAGCAACTAATGGACTTTGGGAAGTTTTGGATAAAAGTGAAGTTGTGCTATTGACAATAACTTTGTTTTCTGCTTACTTGGCAAAATATCAACATGCCCAATTGATGAAACGTTATATTCCCAATGCTTCAAAGTTATCTTTGGAAGATCAAGTCTATTCATGGTATCTGAATCGTGATTTTTTTAATGAATCAGATTTAGGCAACGAAGAGGAAATTGAATCACATTTTCAGGTAAAGGTTCCAATTAACAATAACACAGAAGAAAAAGAAGTAATCCAGTCAAAAAGCCGTACTATTTCTACAAAGCAACTCTCAGAAAATTCTTTAGCAACACCAGTTAATGTTCCTACATCTTCAAAAGAAAATACTCCACCAGAAGTAACCAAAAAAGAAAGTAACAAAAATTTAGAAGATCTGATATCTGAAAATCATGAATTTTTACAGATATCTGAAGATTCAGAAACAAATTCTGGAACATTTTACAATCTTGCAGCAAAATATATTACTAAGCACTTAGTAAAAGCTGCTCTCAAAGCAGGTTCTAGAAATAATGTTTCTGTACTGCTAGCTCTCTTAAATGGATGTGATAATGTACCCACTGATGTGTTAATGGGAAAAACAGAGTCAAAAACACTGTCATAATGCATACGAAATAAACACTTGTTTAAAAATAATGATTACCATGATTTCCTTTTTATACCACTTTATTCAAACCTGAGCACCTCAATATAAAACTAAACACTGGTGAACTGTCATTTTCATTGCTAAGCCCAAATTATTGCAAATTTACATCTGCACATGTAAGTTTTTGCTAGCAGTTCAACATTTAAATAGATTAAATCATCTTTTCTGACACTTGGTAATTTCATATAATGAAAATAACTAAAAAATTAGTGCAATATACTGGACAAATCAAAATAAAATGGACTTTGGGAAACAATGTTGCAGAATTCATTACAGACAGACAGTAGTATTTATGTTACAGGTACAGGAGCATCTTTTATTATTGTTCTATCCATGAAGGAAGAACTTAATCCCACTTGCAATCTGGGGAAAACGAAATGTTAGCTCTTTAAAGTAACTGTACATATTGTATACGTTTAAGCAACTCTTAAATAGTACAGAGTATTAAACAAATGTAGACTACAATGCAGTACCCTATTTACAGTACACTGACATCCCAATTTAAAATCAAGTTGAATGTACATAATTGTTAGTGCTCTGACCAGTTACATTCTTAGGGAAAAGGTAATTGTATTAATGGTCAACACTGATTAAAATTAAAATCAGCTAACTAGTTTTTATAAGATATGTCTCAATAGTTTGTTAGGAAATGCGTTGCATCAGAAGTTGAATTCATTGGTTGTGACATTTTAAAAGCAGGAAAAATGTGTGAAGCTTGATTTTTTTAAAAAAAAAATTAAACTGGGGTTTGCAAATTTATATATAGTATAATAATTAAAGAAAACCAATTGTTCTGCAAGCACAGGTTCAATAAAATTATTAATGTTTCACATATTTCACTTAAATTATGAAACTGTGGAATGTATATTTAATGGTAATTACCCACATAAACATTTTGCATAAATACTGTTAATAAGCTTACAGGAAGTTCAGAAGGTATATTAACCTTTTTTTTCTTTTCAAAATCACAAATGGAGAATCCAAATTCTATTCATTACACTTTAACAGTAACCAATATCCAACACTTGAGGAACTAACTGGTTAGCTGCCGATCCATGGAACAGTTCAATCTCTATTCCTAATGACATGTAATTCAGTTAAAAACCTCAAAAACCTCTTAACTAGAGCAGCTTCTTTCCCCATCCCATCCCATTGTTGAAACATAACAGCCAGTGATACATGCATGTTATTAAAAATTAGGACAAAATCATTCTGTATTAGAAACAACTATTTCATAAGTCTCTTCAGTTTTGGAAGCTGTATTGGGCCAGGTTAAATACTTCAAATTCCATTGGTATTAACAAGTTAGGAAGTGGAAGAATATTCAAGACAGTTTAAAGCAGCTGAAAGTTTAGTTGCTACAACATTGACTCTTAGTTGGTTGTGTTGGTTCAGTAAGATCTACTCCTCCTCTTCCTCTACCAGAATTAGCTCCAGTATTCTGTGGTTCATTCTTCGGCAACTTTTTAGCTATAAAAATGTAGCAAAATTAGTATATATATATAGATATAGATATATATATATTTTAAAAAATAAGTATTAGCCGTGTATATTTATAGCTAATAGCACTATACAGCATGGTCAATGTTTTTTATTCTGAATAACCTTCCACATAAATTGATGACGTTCACCTGCTCTACCAGCAGCTAGTTCCAATAACTATACTCTATATTTCACACCATATGTATTTTTTGGCAGCACACATGAATTTCTTCTTCAAAAGATCCCAAAAATTATGGGCCTACTTCAATATGGCTTGTCTGTATATAGCTTAAATTTGCCCATTATGGTTCACCGTGACTTATTTTTAAAAATATGTTGAAAAAACCCATGGCTTATCACAAGTTTTATCATTTTTTTCTACATAAATTGCTGAGATCCCTGAAAATAGAAATGCAGCAAAATTCGACAATAAATTAACACATTTCCATGAAAATAAAATAATAAATTTTGCTTAGTTTATATCTCATTCAATTTAATATTTCTGCTTAATAAAAATTTAATGTCCAGGGCTACTTTTAGTTCTAATTTTCTTTTCTAGCCTTAATAATATAGGATTATATTCATTTTGAAACACACAAGCAAAATGTAAACAGCTCAGTACTGAATACTTAGGACAAATTTTAAGTATAGATAGTCCTCAACTTAATATCATAATTGAGCCACAAAATGTCTGTTATTGAAAAAGTTAAGGGAGTTTTGCCCCATTTTACAATGTTTCTTGCCATTGTTGTTAAGTGAATCACTGCACTTAAGTTAGTTGGTAAGTTAGTAATATGGTTCAGTGAATTTGGCTTCTCCACTGACTTTGCTTGTCAGAAAGTTGCAAAAGGCATTCACATGGCCCCAGAACATAATCATAAATACGAGCCGGGTGCCAAGTGTCTGAATTTTGATCACATGTCGTTGGGGATGTTGCTCTAGTTGTAAGTGTGAAAAATAAGTCACTTTTTTCAGTGCCACTTTAACTTTGAAGAATCACTGAACAGTTGTATGTACAGTTGTACTACTACCTGAAGCACTTTTTTTACAGGTTTGCAAAGTTACTTTGCAAACATATTGGAAATATAAATGCCTTCTAACAGGACTTTACTTACTTAAAAGAATAAAGGAAAATGTCAATATAATATGGTATACCTTCAATCAACTGAACAAAATAAACATTGGAATAAGCTCAATTTCACACAAACAGTAAAAACTGATCTAACACATATTCTCAGATATTGAAATTAAATAGAAATTTGGATGAGTTTAGTATTACTTGAACTGGTTCATCTCACTATGCCTAATGAATAAGATATTTCAAATTAAAGATTTAGTTTAGGCCACGTTCAATGTACAAATAAGCGGTTCACCCACAAATGCGCGAACGACAAAAGCGCGCCTGACTAAACCGCGGTGACAAAAGTGCGCTGACAAAAGCGTGCCGACGAATGAGCGCTGAAGCGCGCCAACAACAGCGCGCTGTAACGCTAACCCTAAACCTTACCTTAAATCGCGCTTCTGTCAGCACGCTTTTGTCGGCGCGCTTTTGACATCGCGGTTTTGGCGTTCGCGCATTTATTGGGTCACGCAAATAAGCCTGGATTCCATTCAAGATGTTTAGCAGCTTTCAGATCACTTTTAATTTAATAGATTTATTAAATATGGACTCCTTCTGATAAAACCAAATTTTCCTCAATCAATTATGATTTATGGGCTATAAAATGCCTGCCATAGCATTATCGGAAAATATTGTATTTTTTTAACCTAGAAACAAAAGAACTTCATTAAGAGTAAATCAAGTTACATGTTCAAAGTGAACATTATCTTTGCTAATCTACTTTTAATTTAAATATTCTGCCTTCCATTAATACTTTTGACTTTATCAATTTGAAAATACCTGCAAATGCTATAAAATTGCTGTGCATTTTGTGATTTAAAAAAGTCAAATTATTACTATCAAGCAGTAATCAGAGGCCAGGCTGTCCATTTGCCACTGTAGTCTGATAATTTTGATGACTGCTCTTTCTTAAAGTGTTACAAAAATATTTTTAAACTGTAACTTTAAGTAAGAGTTCACTTACCAATTGCCATGAATATTTCATTTACATTCACTGATGTTTTAGCGGAGGTCTCCATGAACAATAAACTGTTGTCATCTGCGTAAGACTGTGCTTCCTGTAAATTTAAAATGCCCATTTATTTTTCTTGCTATAATTCTGTATTATACAAAATATGTATTATCTGCAGTTAGAATAGTGTTTTGAAGATCAAATTTTGACTTGACTAGTTTAGTCAGATCAATGCTTCCAGCAAAAACTAATAATTTTAAAGATTTTCAGTGACATCTACACAAATGAACAAAAATGCAACTGGATAAAGTAGAAATGAAGTATGAAACTTCTGAATTATTTCTTCTCAGGATCTATAAATGTTCAGTATTTCAAAGCTAAAATCTGAAAGTTTGGTGATTAAAGGATAAAGAAAATTAATTATAATTGTGATACTATACATTCAAAAACAAAAGGGCTCACAAGGGAAATTGTTAGAAGTTATACACATAATTATAGCCTTGCTATGTAGAATTTATTTACAGATAATTTTTATGGTAAACTCAAAAGATAAAAAAATCTTGAAGAGGAGAATAATAAACAATTTTTGAATTATTGACATGTTACTAAGAATCAAATTCAACTCAAACTCTTGTTTATCTTTGTATTTACACTGATAACTTATCTTTAAATCTTCAATGCACTTTACATACTATTTGGGTTGGTGCTTGTTAAAATATTCTTGCAATGATGCTAAATTTAACATATCTTCCATAACTACCTTATTTCATAGAATTTTCTGCAGCCAGTCATGTTTCTGATTTATGAAATTCCAAATAAGATTCAGAAAGGCAACAAATAACAGCTCCAAATAAATAGAAAATTATCTTACAATACAGTAAATATCAAATAGCTATGATCTCTACAAAAATTAATACAGTTGAACCTCTTGTGACAGCTGAAAACCAAGAAAATATGTACAATATTATAAATTTGTGATATGCCCATATTAGCACTTATATGTGTTAACTTATCGTTCATAATTATCTTGGAAGTAAGTTACTCATTCTTATTTTAAAGGTAGTGAAATATTAATACTAGATTTGAATAGGTGGGCTTTACTAAAACTTTGACAAACATATACTTCTAATTTTTCCCCCCAATTCAAATACCATCTTTTATAGCTCGGGGTTTTCCCAATGATGTTTATACACAAAGAATTGCATTATTCATGGCCCTCAAGATTCCTGAGAAGTCCTATTTTTATCCATAATTAGCACCATTCAAAATCTGCCTGTCTGTTAAAGTGTGTGTGTGTGTGTGTGTGTGTGTGTGTGTGTGTATACACATATACATACATACATACATACATACACACACATACACACACACCTATATATATATTTGAATTTCATCTTGCTATAAATCTCTTAAATAGTTTAAAG